AAGTCGCTGATTTTGGCAAAACGTTGGGTAACAAGGAGGACATTTCGAGCGGCAAGGTCGCGATGGACGAATTTGCAGGACTCAAGATAGGCCATGCCCAGGGAAACCTGGTACATCAGTTCGGTGATGACACTGACTGAGGTATCTCTATAGAGGGGAGATGGCACGGATGAGCGGTCATTCATGAACAGATTTTCACGAAAGGTACTTTACGATCAAAAAAGCATCTTCCTCACACCCTAAGAACCGAATATTTCCCTATAAGTCATGGATGACTTCCGAAATGACAGGAAATTAAACGGTGCCAGGGAACTTAGACAGCATTTTGGGCGATAGCACCAGACCCATAATATGGCGTCGCGGGAAAAAATATTCGTCAAATCAGATGCGTAAATGGCCTAGACACTTGCGGTAGTGTGGAGCAAGAACAAGGAAAGATGCCGATGTAAAAGGCTCAGCAGAGGAAGCAATAAAATGTGCGCAGTACAAACGGGCTTTCTTCAAAGTAGGTATTGGGAAAAAAGTCCAATAGCAGAGAAGAAAAATGCGGTTGACGAACTAAAATAAAATTGAGTTAAAATGGCAGGAAACACCTGGGAGATGTTGCTCCTTTATAGGTTTAGAGGCAGTCTGTGAAAGGAGAGTGAGGTAGAGTAAAGGAAGCATTCTAACAAAATTAAATTCAATTTATACCGTTTGCAACATCTTGCACGGGAGACGCAACCCCTATAATGGGGAAAACAACCAGTCTCTCTTATGGGGGGAGGGGGCGGAAATTAAATTAACTTTAGAAACGCAACAATCCAGGAGCACTTAAATGCCCACATTTCGTTAAAATTTAATGCTGGCATTTGGACCACATATGCAAACTAGTCCCCGCTCTCGTTAATTCTCCGCATTCTTTCGCGGATGATCGGTTTGGTAGAGTAAACACTTCTTCCAATCACCCACTTTTGCCCAAGTCTGATGTTAACAAAAAAGTTCAATTTACCCACACTGTCAGAAAGAGCAAAAGAAAGAAACCCTCCAAGCCTTTTCTTCCGAAGCAAAAATTTTACATTTGCAACACGTCATGATGTGCCGAAGTGGGGAGCAGGTGTGGCAAAATTTATGAAGCTTAATTGAGGAGGCACGGTTCAACTGTGTGTGCCATAAATAGACAGAAATTCTCAGTGACTACTGGTTTGACAGGATTGGGCATTACTTTGTTGAATAACCATGATTTTAGACCTAATGTCATATCTAGCATTAGGCGTGCTGTTGGCTATTTGGAAACTAGTATTAAAGATAAGGGTCAAATGAATTATTGAAGACTGCCAAGCCCTACTAACATGAAAATGAGGTTAGTAGTAATTCTGGTGGATTGTAGATGATTGCTTAAGAAATCCTGCCTGGGCAGTCAGCTTACTGTAACCGTAATGGTGGATTCCATACGACCAGCAAATCGGGTGGGTAAATCAACACAAGTGTGATTAAATCCACGGCCCAGGGTGAGACTCGTAGCTCAATAGTAGAGCGCTGGCTGCGCATAATCCTTCCCTGCTGTGTGGGGTTGGTTCGT